GTACTCAAGTCTTAAGAGCTTTGGTTTATTTAGTTTGATACACTTAAAAAAACCCAAGTGAATTATAATATTTCAAATATTATTTACTAATCAACTTGTATTTCAGTTGTTACATCTTTTCCATTGGTGATAAGCGGGATTTGAACCCGGGACCTTAGTGACAGAAGTGCTACGCTCTACCACTAGATCATATCATTTCCCTGTGTTTGCTGAAATACCGTAGTTGTCAATTACAACAGTTTTTTTTAACATTCTTAAACATAATCAAGGCTTATTAACTCAAACAATCTTTCATTTCTAATAATAATTTTTGTGAAAGTACACTGTTTTGAGTTTACCAGTTTAAAACAATATCAAGACTATGTTGTAGTCTTTACTGCACACCAAAGGTATAAATTCAACTTCATTGATCGGAAGTATTCCTTCAGCCTTGACACCAAAGGAAACACTTTATTCAAGTCAAGGGCGTAGTTTTTCACCGTTGTAAACTACCTCTCCTTGTATTTGTCCGTGTTGTCCAAGCATTGATGGATCGCACCTCCCCCCCACCCCCCCAGCACTACTGTAAGGACGGTATTCCCAAGAAATGCTCCTTGGATCAATTTGTCCACACACAATGTCCCCCAGGTGATGTTTCCCCTCCAAGTCTAAACATTTGTCACTGATGGTGGGTGTTCTATCGATTCTGATGCGTCTATCTTTTACCAGTCCTTTTTAGAATTAAGCTGCTTCAATAAGGTGAAATTAGTTTGAAGACTTTAAAAAAATAGTGTTTCAGTTTAGTTCTTAGAATTTTTAAGTTTCACACAACAGCATAGTTTCACTTTAAAAAATGGATAACGGACCAACGAGGTTCAAGGATTGAGAGAAAAAGAAGGAAAATGTTTATGATTCGAACTTCAACTAACCAGCTGTTCAGGCCAATTTAATTGTTGAGTGGTGCAATTGGTGTTTGGGGTTGGTACAATGTTTCGTTGCAGTGGCAATGAGAGGTAATAAACGAATACATAACCTCTCTTAGAAGTTTTGAGTAGTGATTTTAGTAATTCAAACACTGTCGTACCTCGCAAGTATTGTACGCAACTCGCGTAAATACACTCTTCTAAAGACACTCGTAGAAGTTTTTAAGGCACCCGCCAAGGCTCGTACCTTAAATTTTCTACTAGTGTCGTTAACACTATCTTCACGCAATCGTTGCGTAAACTACTATTCATCGACTGGTCCTAGAGTTTTGTAATTTTGTAGTCTGTTCCGTGGCGTGTCTAATCATAAAATATGTATGTCCACATTTTTATGATTCTATATCCGATATTAAAATCTTCTTAAGTTATTCCCGTTACAACATGTTAGTAATTCTCGAGCTATGCAACCTCTACAAAATTCTTTTTTGAATGAAACACAAGGTACTTGTAGAGAACGAAAAGTTTATCTCGTTGCTAAGAATCATTCCCGTGAGAGATCTGAGAAATTATTATGAAACAATGAGAAACAATGGGACGCTTGTAGGATTGTCTTGTAAACAATTGTCTTGGGATTTTAAGTTGTGATTTAAACATTGAAATAATATACAGTTTTAGGAATACCATAAAAACATGTATCACGGATTAAAGACACTTATTTCAAAATAAAACTTTGTTTTGTTTAACCTTTAAACAGTTCTAGCCTGTTAGAAGAAAGTTACGTATATCCAAGATTTTCTTGTCACATTGAAGTGCTTATATCAATTAGTTTTGCACAATTAATCTATACTCAGCTAAAAAACGCAAATATAATTTTTCCCTAGGACGCTGGGTACGAGCCCGGAATTGTTTTTCACATTACTTCTGGCTAGACCTAGGGGTTGCGACATTATCACATGGATAAAATCCATTGGTGATTTGGCGGGATTTGAACCCGGGAACTATGGAACCGAAGTCCCGCGCTCTAACCACTAGACCAGCTCCCCAAACGCAAATATAATGGTTTTTTGAAGATTTTGATTGAATAGAGGGATTTTCGTTGAAAAATACAACACATAAATGATGTGGCCGAATGTCACAGATTATTTCAACAGTTCGACGTTGTTTTCACATGACAGTTTATACACGTTCAGTCTTGTTCAGGCTGTTTGCTGACACCGTACATTGTACATTGTACACAACCCTCAGGGGAAGAGGGATAGAGAGAGTAACATGAGGAGAGGTTGAATTTCACTCTGAACCACGCGTGTGAATTGGAAGGAAAATTATGAATCGGTAACCTTGTGGAAAACAACACACTCGAGCAAAAATTATCCTATTTTGAGCAAATTTGGTATACACGTGTAAACCTACCATGGGAACGGGGGTTTATAGGTCGTTTTATGGGGTAAAAATCGGCTTTTCTCATTTTTGACCCTAAAAACATAAAATTCTTTCAAATATTTTGTAGAGCGTAAAAACAAATTATTTAGTATATTGAAGCGTTATTATGCGCCTAATGGTTACGGAGAAAATTACAAAAAAATGTAAATTTAAAATTCCCTTGTTATTCTTATGGAGAATAAGTAAACTGTTGTTGTTTGCTTGTTTATGAGCATATTTTGTTCACATTTGGAAAATACATTTATTTAATACTAAACTATTAACATTTTACAAAAAATTCACCTTTTTCCCTCCCTGTTGCAGCAAACCTAGCATACTCGTTAAACTTATGCTATTTAAATAGGGAATACATTTGACATTTTTATGGGAGACATTTTAGTGTAAATCCAATTAGGCAAATTAAAATTTGCTTGGTCTGCGGGTTTGCTGCGACGGGGGCATTATGTGTATTAGATAAATTAATGTGCATTTACATAGTACTTGACCAATGTTAGGACTTGTAAGTTTCCAATTCCATACAAGAACGACCTAGCTAGTAGGGTGAAAGGGGTTAACCAGGAGTTAAATAAATGTCTGGCTCTCCAGAGTGTACAGGATAATGTTAAGTGGAAAAGTTTAAATGTTATTGCGGAAGATGCAGGGAAACATGCGGAAACATGGTTGCCAACTTAGTTTTATGGCCGAGTTTAATTTACCTTCGGTGTATTTTAATTTTCTTGAGCACAAATTAACGAGATTAGATGCTAAGAAAGTGCTAAAAAGCAACAAGTCTTTACTACCGTTTTTACTACGTTCAGAGTGACTTTGTCGACAGAAACTAATTTAGTACTAATTTAGTAGTAGGCTATTTAGCAACAGGGACCTATACAAACAATATATCAATGGAAGCGTGTGTAATTAATTATTGTTTTGTCATGTCAATGAAATAACTTGAAAAGGATTCAAATTGGAAATAATTTATAAACAAACAGCTATTACATATAACATTTTTTTCAAAATATTATTACTTACAACTAGCTGTTACCCACGGGCTGCTCCACCCCGTTTTACTACATTAGTATTATATTAATAAAACTATTGATTGGTTAAGTTAAGATAAAATAAACAAAACAGAATACAGTAATGGTAATACGAACAAATAATAACAGCTGAGGTATTTTTAACATTAGGTAAATGGAAAGTTTCCTTTGGAAAGCAATTACGACCTTATAGGGCAATTTATGAAATAATGGATAATTTTGCGCAAGGTTTCTCGTCATGACGAACATTTTAAGTATATGGTTTATGGGGGTGTGACTTGTAGTTTTCTCAAAAGTTCATGGGTACTTTTGGCTTTATATATAGACTAGCTGTACCCGCGGGCTTTGCCCCGTTTAACTTCACAAGTGAGCCTGTTCACATGGCTCAATCACATCCTGGTTGAAGTTCGTTCGCTACGCTCACTCACCTTTATGTTGGAGCTCGTTCGCTACGCTAACTCGCTTCCAGGTTTAAGTTCGTTCGCTACGCTCACTCACCTTATGGTTGCAAATTGGCTGTAGTCATAAATTAAAAAAAATAATAGTGCTGCACCCTGTCGGTAATCCTTGTAACTTTAATGCTATTGAACATCATAGAACAGAACCAACTTGTTTAATTGAAACAGCTGATAAGATTCATTAATTCCATTTAAATATGAGTTCTCATAAGGAACATGGGAAACTCCAGAGCCACTGGGGTGGAGCCCGAAAGCCCGATCAGAATAAAAACTACTTAGTTTTCCTATTTAATGCCCAAAGAATTGATGTACCGAATTTCAGCCTCCTAGGTAAATGGGAAGTGGGAGAATTAGTGATGAGTGAGTGAGTGAGTGAGTCAGTGAGGGCTTTGCCTTTTATATATTTAGATAGTGATACATACAGGGTGATTGATATAAGTGTGCCAGCTGTTTTATTCCAAAGTTATAAGAGATATGAAAAAAATGCTAAATTATAACTGCCTTGGATTTTTTATTTAAAATGTTTTGGTCAAGTTGAAAAAAAAATTAGCCGCCATATTTTCATTATGGCCACCAACTTTGATTTTTCTTATGGAAACCCCTATATTTAATGATTTATTTAGAAAGTAAATGCCATTTAAAAATGTTTTTAACCTTGGATTTTTTCTAAAGCTACTCATTTAGGAGTTACAGCGTGTTAAAAGAAAAACTGACTGATACGGCCATTTTTGAAATGATGGATTCAATATTTTTTATGATTTTAATGGTCTGTTTAGAATGTAGATGCAATTTTAAGACATGTACTCTCAGCATTTTCTCTCTAAACCTACTCGTATAGAAGCTACATGGCGCAGAATGTACACAGCAAGTCATTTTTTCTTAGTTTTAACACGCTGTAACTTCTAAATGAGTAGCTTATATTAACTTACTTAACTAACTTATATCAATCACCCTGTATATTTTTTCGTAATTAACTATTTAAGAGATTCGTCAAAACATAAGCAACAAAATATAAGATAGTTTAACTGGTTTAACTAGCTGCTGTCCCTCCAAGTTGCCTATATTTATTTATAATAGACATTGACAAAGGACATAACGGGTTTGTTCTAATACTCGTTACATTTACAATAATAGCGCACACATTTTAATATATTCTATAGCAAAATTGGTTTTATAATTACCTCTAATTCTCTGGTAACTGTAGACCAATCTGTAACAAAAGCAAATTTGTTAGGAACAAACATTTTAAATGTAATGTAAGATGTTCCGAATGTATAATGGCAACAACCATTACACAACACAATCCATGTATTGTTACAATTTAAAAATTTTCCTTTTCCAAAAAGATTTTTAAATGGTTCCAAACCTTAGCAAAGCCATTTAAAAATCGAAAGTATTGAAAAATGGGGGCCTATATAAAAAAAATCTAGAACTGTACATTATATTTTGTACTAATACATAAAAACTTGAATAATAAAATTTTATGAGTAAATATCTGTATGATTTCGTAAACATTGTATTATCTTCATATACAAACTTAAAATGTTGTGTTACAAAAAAATAACACGAAAGGAGCTAAGATGGGACATTTTATACAAAAAAGGGAAATTGTATTCGGTGAATTTTGCGGTTGGCAATACTGAGCTATAAATATCCCTAACAACCCCTTGGTGTAACATTCCCGCTGTAGTTCTGCCTGCTAATGTGCGGATTTGGTGGGTAATTCGTATCATAACACGGAAAATATGCTTACTATACATGTAGTACACAAGTCTGCATAATATTGCGAACAGAAAAAATGTAATTCGAACACAAATGTTTTTGTAGTTTTAACATTAACATTAATGAAGGGTTTAACATTGTTCTGTCTAAGTGCATGTTCTAGAGGACTTTTGGATTCGGTAGCTTACATTGTAGAGATTTATAGTAAGATAAATGTGAAAACTTGGTTAAAATGTAAAAACAAAATACTCATTAGAACTAAATATAACTGGTCTTGGCCCTAGTTTCCGTAATCACAGTTTTTATCGTATTCAAATATGAATTATATACTTTGTAATTATAGTATTATTAATTGCTGAGTATAAGGTCTGGTCTAGTGGTTAGAGCGCGGGACTTTGGTGCCTGAGGTCCCGGGTTCAAATCCCGCCAAATCACCAATGGATATCTAAATGATAATGCCGCAACCTCTAGGTCTAGCCTGAAGTAATGTGAAAAATACCCCCACCGCAGCAAACCTGCAGACTAAGCGAATTTCCATTTGACTGATTGGATTTACACTGAACTGTCTACTTAAAAATATAGCATTTATTCCCGATTTAAATAGAATTAGTTTAACAAGTACTTAGGTTTGCTGCATCAGGGAGGGTAAAACTGTTTTTTTTTTTAAATGTTAATAGTTAGTAAGAAATAAAAACATTTTCCAAATTTGATCAAAATATGTTCATAAACAAGCAAACTACAACAGTTTACTAATTCTCCATAAGAATAACATGGGAATTTTAAATTTACAATCTTTTGGAATTTTCTCCGTAACCATTAGGCACATAATAACGCTTCAATATACTAAATTATTTGTTTTTTTAAGCTCTAAAAAATGGTTTGGAAATAAATTGCTAAATTTTGTGTTTTTTGGGTCAAAAATGGGAAAAACCTATTTTTACCCCATAAAACCCCCCGTAAACACCCGTTCCCATGGTCCGATCATGCTGGATCGCGAACTCGTTCAAATAAACGTAGGTTTACACGTTTGTACCAAATTTCATCAAAATCGGATCATTTTTGCTCGAGTTATCGTGCTGACGGACACACACACATATATATATATATATATATATATATATATATATATATATATATATATATATATATATGAATTTGAACGGATGGTGTTTTTGGCCTCTAGGGACCTCAAAACGAAAAAAAAAATCGGTCCCGCGTCCAGGTGTTACCATAAGTACTACGGTAATAGCTTATTCCCTATATGGGAAATTCGCTAACAATCCCGGGCTCGTGTCTAACGTCATAGGACAAAAAGAAATCGCTAGAATAGTCGTGTATTATAAAAGTTTGTAGACAATGAATCTAAATTGTATCACAGAAGAAAAGAAGGAGACAATAACAATGTTTCATGTCCTACTATTAATTAATTCTATGACTACATCCACGGTAAATTTAGTTTCTAGGCGTGATCCACCCCTTATATATTTCTGGTTCTCTGAACCGTAAGGAAAAGGGTAATCTTTGCTTAATTAATATTATTTATATAACGCTACATATTGTTCAGTACGATATGCAAACAGAACATCTACATTTACGTAGTCGCGTACTAATAAATACATTGTAGTTTGATGTGATGGTTTTTTTTTATTACGTGCAAAAATTTCACGGTAAGTATTTAATTTTTTTTCTATTGCAACCTTAATTTATTTATAGTAAAAGAAGACACCGTTTAAATGTGTTTCATATTTTAAGACTAAGAACTCCGCTTGGACTATTTGATAAAAAATAATAATTTAAGTATTTTTTATTTAAAGCTAATTTTAGATATGGTATTCTCCATCCTCTTTATCCGTGCTAAGCCTTTATCACCAAATTAAATGCAGTTTAAACTTAACTTTGGCTAAAAGACCAAGTCTGTGACGCCTGATTGGTTCTTTTAATTAACTTACCCTTGAAGCACCTGCCTTGCTCGCCAGACAGGCAATGATTACGCTGAGAACCTGTCGATTTGGTACAACATATTCGCGTTAAGGTATTTATTTTCTGAATATAAAGGTTCTATATATACTTAGTATTTGAAAAATACATTTAAGTGCAAAGGTTATGAAACCTGTATTAGATCAACTTTAGTTTCAGAAGTAGGATTAAGTGAGCAGATAATAGATATTAATAAAGTTCTACGTCTCTTGGCCCTTTCCGTCAGGTGGTAACTTTTTTGAAACTTATATGTACAAATTTACTATCTGATATATATTATTGATATTGTTAAAAGTAACGTTAACATCGCTTCCAAGCAATTCATTTTAAAATCCTTTTCAATAATACGAGAAGGTGATTTCTACGAAACACTACTCCTCCAAATGGACTGATTTTTACAAACGATGTGTCGAAATTAATTATTTTTATTTTTGGTGTAAGAGCTCTATCGAAGGACGCCATAGTAACATCGACGTAACTTAACGTAACATAACGTAAGGGGGTAATTTGTGTAAAATGACTTAATCGAAACCTGAATAAGTTTTTATGAATACTAAGAAATAATAAGAATACTGTACTGGAAGGAGGGGTAACAGCATCGTCAAAACGGTAAAGTTTATAAAAAAAACTTTTACCTTTTATTTTTGTGTACGATTAAAAGCTGTAAAACAACCACTACAACCAATAATTACTATTTTTGTTTGTTAAACTTATCTTTATCCTTCAACCACAAAACTAAACGCGAAGATTGTTGAGTTTGGTCTGAATAAACTCAATTATCTTAAATAAACGTTTTGAATCTCGCCGACCTCAAATATCCGTCTGGGATGATTCAGTTGGTACAATGTTGACGTAGTCTCCGATTTCTCTGAACATTATTTCAAATCAAATAAAATCCCTTTCTTAACCGATATGGAAGTTATTGAAAAAACTAATTTACACTACTAATTTTCATCATGCAGCAGATAGGATAGTATTTTTTCAAACTAAGTTTTATGAGTTTGTTAAAACGGACCAGAGTCAAATTTCTAAAGAATTGTTTAATAATTACCAAAAGCAGAGATAAAGTTAACACGCCTCTTGTTAAAATTTATTACCTAAGTCTAGTTAGCTTATAAAACCACCCGAGCGAAAAGAGATAAAAACTTTGACAATAAATTGAAAAGAAAGTCCGAAAGGAAAGTTCCTTACCGAATAGTTACGCATCGGGAACTCCGTAGAGTTTAAATTTCAGTTTAATTTACAAATTCGTAATTTTTATCTGTATTTTTATATTCTATTTATGCCTAAGCATGTTATACAGAACATTTTAGGGTTGTAGGGTATTAATGCAATGTACTGTGCTAGCCGTTTTATTTTAATATTGTATTTACTATTGTGGCACCTACACACCAATTTAATAAATATAAATCATATATATTCATATCTAACTAAACAGAAAATAATATATTATGGGCAGGCCTACTCTACGTAATACACATTAAAAACATAAATCATTAACCTTACTGTTTGTTGGGATAATAACTACACATGTATTATATTGCATTTTTACTATTTGTAACTGTGTTAATTTTTTGTAGATTAGAGTACTGTATTTATGTTACAGAAAAATATTTTGTTTAATTTTAAGATAAAATTGAGTTTCTCAAGCTATTCTAAAGGTAAAATTAATATTTACTTTAACAAATTAAATTACAAAAAAGGTAAACACCACCTACACAAAACGTCATTTTTACACAGAAGTAAAATAGCAAAATTTAAAGAAAATGTCAAACGTTGAAATAAATCTCTTAGATAGGTCAGGAAGATAAATTTCCAATGGATGTCAAATATGAATAATATTTTATCTTTCCCCAAAGAAGAAATATTTCAGCTGTCTTGGAGTGTGCGGTTGAATGGATTCTATCAAGTGAAGAGATCGAAATATTTGTCAAGTTGGTACAACTGCAATTGTAAACGGTCGAATATAACAGAAAAATTCTGAGGGGTTTGAAGGTGTAACAAAAAGTGTTGGTTTTAAAATAAAAAACGTTTGATTTCAATTTTCTAAATAAGATCAAATACGTGAAATGTAATTCTATATTTTCTCCCAATAAAAGTATCGTTAAATCAGGGTTGGCAAGTTTGAATCTTCGTGTTTATGATTGCCAAACAAACCTGTAACGTAGAGTAGTAGAAGAATAGTAGAACAGCCAACTAACGTCACGGTATGCTGGAAAGTTGCCAACTTTTTAAACTATAATTACTCCGACTTTTCCCTCCGTCTGCCTATAAATATTGTAAGAGTTTATCAAGATTTGATCGGTTTGTGACTTATGTTTATTTATGAGCCGATAAAAAACTTGTATTCAATATATTTCACGTTTATCTAACTACCCCTATCACCTCTCTAAATACAGTCTAGCGAGTTAGAAGACTTAAAAAAAAGCATAAGAACCGTTTACGCCTAAAACAAAAACACATTTTTTTTATAATAAAAAAGCTACTTAAGATACTTTGTTTTAACCTTTT